CAGCAGGAAAACCATATTTAATGGCCGAGTTTGGCCCTCGAGTGAAACTGTATGAGATTGCTAAAATATAATGGAAATCAGAGGCAGTGCTTGAATTTGAATATTTTAAATTGTAAAAAGTAAAAATGTGCAAGGCTGACATTAGTTCCTTCATCAGTACATGTAGGAGCTAATGCTGTATCAGACAATTGAAATTTTTTCAGTACTGCAAGCATATAAAATTGAATGCACAAGGTTAATTTTTTTTAAATGAGAAACCACATTTGTTAATAAACAAATTGTACATTCAGATGGCCTTTAAAATACTCATCTTTTTTGGTGTTTCTTCTGTATTTTGTAATAATACAAAATACAGCTGTGAAATTTGTTTTAAATGTTGGGTATTTTTTCCAAACTACGTTTCTAATAGCATATTCTATGGTGCTTTTAGAATTATCAGTCCTATAAAGCTGCGTGCTGTTAATGTGGCCGTCCTGAATACTTGCAGAAATATTTTGCTAGACTACTGTGCTGATACGATAGCCTTATAAATAATAAACTGTGGATTATTTCCCAGTGGAGTGAGAGAGCTGCAGGCAATGCAAAGCTCAAAGATGTCTTTGCAGCCACCTCAACACTGAAAGAAGTTATCCATTCTTTTAGTGTTTTGATATGAATGTGCTCCCATTATTAACTGCTTGTTCATTTTTAATCTTTTTGCCATTTTTAACATACTATTTTCTAAGAGTGCTTGATAATGAAAAGGATAAAATGGTGGAAAGAAAAAAAGAAAAGGTAACAGCTCGAAGAGAAAGCTGAATAGCTGGCAGAGCTGAGAAGGGAACATGAGAAGTTGTAGGGGCAGCAGGACAGATTAAACTGAGGTGGCTGAAGATTTTAGCCTTTTAAAGCAACTTTTTTCGGAAGGAGGAGGGAGGTAGAAATCAGAGAGCTCTATTTTTACAGACTGCTTAAAATAAAATTAAATAAAAATAGTGGCCAAAGATCTAGGTTCATTGTTATGACATGGAGAGAAAGGGACTGCAAGGGAAGGCTGAGGGAAGGCTCTCTGGCAGGGGGCCGCCAGGGCAGCAGCTCGCGGGCGGTGCGATGCTGCTCCGCGCTGCCCCTGCTCTGCCGCTGACAGCCACCGAGCAGGCGGAGCAGGAAAGCCTCCGCTTGCAAAGCATCGACTTGCCTGTTATAAACTGTTGCTTATGACTTACG